CTCCTCCTCCTCCTCCTCCTCCTCCTCCTCCTCTTCCTCAGGCGCAGCAGATGACCATGCAGGCCATGACTCTCTCTCAGCAGCAGACCAAGGAGCAGCAGAGGAAGCAGAAGGAGAAGGAGAAGGAGAAGCATTGGAAACGTCAGTCCCAGCGACGCTCCGACTCCCCCTCTCCTCCCCCTCGATCTCCCTCACCCCCACCTGCACGGCCCAAAGCCTTCAAACCCCCCCCCAGGCACAGGCAGCCTGTACCAGAGGTGGGTTAATAGCATCAGCTGTAAATGTGTTGAGCTGTGCCTTCCAGTCCAGCCTGGTGGTGGTCCCACACTCCTCGGGTCTGTGTGGGTCTGGGTCTCAGCTTTCAAATAAAAGATGCCAGGGATTTCCATTTGGAAAAAACTGTTTGGTCCTCTGAAGACCTCTACCACGAGCCTCACCTTACTGAAAGACAGAGTGGGAGAAGTACTCAGATCTCGTGCTTAATTAGTACTTAGTTACTTTACACCTCTGCTGAAAGACCTAGCCCTGGCCCAGGTTCTTATCCTAAAACCAAAGAGATATATACTGCATTATTTATTACATAAAAAAACAATTTAGGATGGATGAGACATGAAGCCTGACATAACCTTAACTTTAACGCAGTCGTTTAGAACTCTTCAGTTATCAATTAAATATTTCTACACACAGTTTGCCCCTTCTAAAAATACAATTAAATGCAGCTACATCAATCTGTGAAGAACCATCACTAAGTCAGATGAGCAGCGTAGACGCTCTATAAGGTGAAGAGTCTCCTTAACTCTTACATTCTTGGTATCTGAGCTGGGAGATGTCAAATTCGGTTTGCTACTGCTCTAGTACACCTACTCAAGTGTCTGCAAGATGGCGTATGTGAGATTGAGTCAAAATATACTTCGGTGTATGTATTGTTGCTACAGTATATATTTTTTAGAAACATGTGTTGTTCTTTTGGCTCTGCACATTATATTTGTTGACAGTACAGAAAGAAAGTAAATCTGCAACCTTTTTGTTTAACTCTCTTAATGTGAGGCAGTGTTATTAGTGGGCAGTGGTGGAAAGTAACAAGTACCGTTACTTAAGTATTGTACTTTAGGACTTTTTTTGACATATTTAATTTAATGCCACTTTATAATTCTATTCAGCTTCATTTCAGAAGCAAATATTGTACTTTTTACTCCACCTTATTTACCGTAATTTTCGGACTATAAGGCGCACCTGAATATAAACCGCAGCAGCTAAATTGAATGATGTGTACATATATAAGTGCGCCTTATAGTCCGAAAATTACGGTAAATAAGGTGGAGTAAAAAGTACNCGGGCTCATTGGGGGGGGGAGCTCCCTTTTAGGCTTGACTGGTGGAGGCACCCACTGTCTCTGATAGCAGGAAGATATAGAACATGTGAGGATAGAGCAAACATATATTAAAGATAAAGATACTTATTACGAGACATTGTAGATAAAATACATTTCAACACATTTCAGACTTCTTGCCCCCGGCCCCCCCTCCTGACCTGCTGCTGTGGCACTGGAGCTTTACTTCTGAGTTTGGCCAGAGCTTCCTCTTTGGGGTCATTCTGCCTCTTAAAATTCCGTGCCGGAGGCCTGTGAAGAGAATACAAACTGTGAATCACCAACATTACACAAGTTATTATTTGTAGTGCTTTTTGGTGACTGTGGAACTTCAAGGAGTCCTGGTAATGTCAGGGGCTGAAAGTTGTAAGAAAATGTCATTCAAAGTATTACAAGAGATTAAACATTTATAAATCTGCCGATGAGGAACTAAGCTGCATCTAAGAATTATTTATTGAATTATTGATTATTCTGACGATTGTTCTTTCAATAAATGGATAAACAGATGTGTCTGTTTGAAAAAAAAAGAAGTGAAAAAATAAAAGAGAGAGAAACAGCCAATCTCAATATTTCCGAGGCTGAAAACGACATGTTCTGGCACTAAAAATAACTGTAGCTACGAATCCATTATCAACATTTTTGTCCATAGACTTATTGTTGCAGCCCTTTCATGAACTGTCAGGAAATCTGTAAAAGTTATTTATACATGTCATACATAATAATCCTACATCATTGGTAACCACCATAAACAGAGGTTTGTTGAGCTTGTGTCCTACTCTGTGTAAATATTTTACAATATGGGCCCAGCTGCATTCTCCTGATAACCATAATGTTATCTCCTAACAAGCTCTTTGTGACACCATAGAAGATAAAGAAATACAGAAAGATACAAGGTTCATGTAGCACTGATGATGCAGGATGACATCACCAAAACGCTCCATATATATTAACACTAAACCAGTATGACGTGAAATCACATTCTCAAATCATGAATCTCCTCTTGGATTGTGTCTATTATTACGTTTTTGCACTCAGAGTTTGCAGTGTCATGTTTGCAGAGCTGCTCAAATGTTGCCAAACACACAAAAGTTCAAAAGGTCAGACAGTATGCCTTCTGATGTTTCTTGAGCAAAGCCTGATGTGACGCCCATTCAACATGTGGGACAAAAAGGGATCAATCAGCATCCAGCAGGATATTAGATCAGATCAAACTTTGTAGGAGAGAGACTGACCTGACGGGCTCGAAGGGTTTGGCCTCTGGTTCGGGTCGGCTGTTGTACATTTTGATGATTTCCCGGATGTTGGAGGTGGGTTCAGGCTTAGGGCTAGCTAGAGGAGCTGGGGTGGGTGTTTCTTTTGGGGGGTCTGCTTTTGCGACAGGAGGGGTGTAGAGACGCTTCACTGTGGGAGATATGATATATAGGATTCAGATGCCAACAGAAAGCAGGGACAGCTCGCCTCAATATGTCTACATTCTACTAAATGTTATTGTGTCCATTGAACTTGTTTAATCTTATTACCCGCAGGCTTTGGTGCTGAAGGGGGGGGTGATGGTTGTGGCGGTGATGGGGAGCGCTGCTGCCGCCTGGATGTGCTGGGGGGGGGTGAACGAGGCTTTGGGATTTCTTCATAGGGCTGATCACCTGGAGGACAGCGGAGAATGGAGGATATACACACAATAATTGCATTTATATTCTATCAGATATCGTAGAAAGTCTCCTTATAGTACACTTAATAAGTGTGTCCTTATTTTAATTGATTTACTTTTATTTACATTTTTTGAATAAGGGTCAGGTCAAATACAATTTTATTTTCCCTGCTCCTGTCCATCGTGGGCTACAAAAACTGCATTAAGTGTACATCTTTTGTTTTTTAATAATTGCCATTAGTGGAATAAAGTAATAATTAAATAAAGAAGTGTTTGTGTTTTATGACAGGATGAACACAAATCTCTTCCACTATGATATTCGACTCTTCTCAAAGTCAGATCCACAAGAAGAGATGAATCAGAGTTTGTGTGGATGTGACAGAAAATTTGCCAGTTTGAAAGATAGTTAAGTAAAAAGCAGAAAAAGAAGCTCCAGGTGTTTGTACAGGTCGCTCAGCTCCACTCACCGATCTTCTGGAAGTACCTCTTCTTGTCTCTGAAGGACTGCAGGTCCTCTGGCTCTGGGGGGTCCACCACTCGCTCTGGCTGGAGAACACATGGCACACAACGTGTTAACACATGGGGGGGAGACAGTGTTGGAAGAAGATCTCAGATCCTTTACTTGAGTTAGTACAAATAAAAAAAAAGGTACAAATACTATGGTCTTAAAATCATCCATTACAAGTTATGTCCTGAATTCTAAATGTTACTTAAGTAAAGTACAAAATGATTAGCATCAAAATATAGTACAACAAGTTAGTACTCACTCTGTAAAATGGTTCATTTCAGAATAATATCAAGTACAGTCATATTATCAGCTAAATGCACTTAAAGTGTAAAAAGAAAAAGTACTTGTTGTGAAAAAGTAGATGTAGATACTTGAACTAGATGTAGATGTAGATACTTGAACTAGATGTAGATGTAGATACTTGAACTACTCTTAGAATACATTACTGCATTATAGAATTAGAATGATATCAGTATATCATGTGTATTAATATATAANGCAGCGTTCCCTGGGGGACCTGTTCGGCTCTCAGCACTCCAATAACCCCCCGCCTGCTCCCCCCGAGTACCCCCCACCTCCCACACGCCCTGCACTCGACATTCAGCACATCCCTGACCCGCCCCCCATGGCGGCCCCATCTCTCGGTGGGTGCTGCTCTCTACATGTTCTCCAGATATTAAAGGCCTCTTATATTATGCATTTTAGCTGACTAGCTGCTAACTAGCATGTGTTATAGAATGTAAGGTTAACATCAGTCAGTGACCCCCCCCTGTAAATATCCTGCAGATGTGATGCCAGATGGGGACGGCATCCGCTCACAGCTGCACCGCTTCTCTGCTGGGGTTTACTTCTCCTACTCCTATGTGCCGGGAAAACTGTTCCTGCGCAAAGAAGTAAGACACACACACACAGACACACACACACACACACACACACACACACACACACACACACACACACACACACACACACGACACTGTGTTGTGAAAGGTGTATTTGTTGAGGAAAACTGTCACCAACTCCGCAGTTCCTCTCATCTCTTTGCATCATTGATCCATCTTCCCCATTGGGATGTGTGCTCAAGTTGTATGCTGATGACGTTTCATATTCCCTCTCTTGTTGTCCTGATCCATCTATACATAAAGGTAAAGGTATTCTGATTCTGATAAAAACCTGTCTGAAAATCAACTGATCCGATTTTGGCCACTTTGTGATGTCAAAAAGTTTGTTTGGGTTGTGCAACCATTAGCCAATCACCAACCAAGGTAGCCCCCGCCTAGTGGCGGATATTGATATTGGCGACATGGCCGGTTGCCAAATTGGGTTGTCAAAAATTTTTTTTATATGCACGTAATTTCATATAGTCTATTGGTGTTGGTAGAAGGAGGCGCGGACGCCCTTATGACAGCAGGCAGCTGGGAGGGAAGGTCTCACACTCAAAGAAGGGCGGGGTTGATCTCAGGTCACCTCATATGGGGGGAAAGAGAGAGGGGCGGCGGGTACACTATCTCTATCAAATAAACACTTTCGAAAGTTAGCAAAATGTATCTCACGCCTCAAAATGCCACCAAAGTCATTCATACAATATAAATAGTTTTGCACATTTATTTTTCTCCTGGCCTGGGTTGTGTGAAACAATAATGCGATGGGAGGTGCACCACCCAGGGCACCATATCAGCTTGAACCGCCACTGCCCCGCCCACCTTATCACCTGAATCTCCTCCTAGAGCACCGTTGTGTTTTTTTTCTTTTAAACCAATCACTTCTCAGAGGGGCGTGGCCAGGAGCAGCTCATTAGCATTTAAAGCTACAGACACATAATCAGCACTATGGGATGCTACAATGATCTGTTTTGTGTTTCAGCCAAACACTTCAAAGGCATGTTCTGTATATCTTTAGGACCTATAATATATTGTTGAAAAATAGTATAATACGGGACCTTTAAAGCTTACTTCCAGGTTTATTTTCCAGAGCCGTTTCCATATATCTGCAGTCACTGCCCTCGAAAAGTAGTTCTCATTGTCAACAAATCCCATAAATTGACCTTAGCATAACTGGCAACTTTAGTTGATATATTACAGTTTGTTGGCCAGAACTTTGGTGTTTTGGAACAGTATCACAGCTCTCATTAAACTCATGTCCAGCAGCAAGCAGTTGTTAACAGCAGCTATGGGCTACTCACATAACACCAAGTCGAAGAGCAAAGACCTCAGCCGAGGCCAATTATGCATACTCCTCAAAAGGTTCATATTCCAAAGTTTGAACACGGTTATTCCAGCTTCCGTGTGTTTATGAGCTTTATGTTATGTGGAAACAACATGGGCACTACACAGAGACGTATTAGGTTTTATTGCTGACTGTTTCTGAGTTAATATACCATCTTGAGGGGATGATGACAGGAACTGTTAAAGCCCAAATGTCCTTTTTCCAATTATTTCGACACAACATGAATGCAGCAAATACTGTATGCCCTACTAGGACTCGAAATCTTGTGAGTAAAATGTATCATGTGTTTGTGTGCAGGTGTTTTACCCCAGAGAGATGTTCAACCGGCCCTACATCCTCAATCTGTTATGTGAACAGGTCAGTGTCCCATCATGTTTAACCTGATATATAAGCCATCCTATTAGATTTCTCGACAGTAGCCTTGGATTGTTTGATAGTGTGCAATTATTGTTACATTTGTTCAGATCATGAAGGACACATACTCGGACAGCTGTGTGAGGATCAGCAAAGAGGAGAGGAGGAAGATGAAGGACCTGCTGGGTGAGAGGGACACATCGTCTTATAACTGATAACTGCTTTGTAAATGCATTCACAAAGGGCTGTTATAAATTATCACTGAATATACACTGTATCAATTCGAATTGGTTTCTGCATTAGTTTGCTCATCATCATCCAATTTTTCACATATCTTCTAGCTAATTTCAACGTAGGAATGACTATAAGCACCATCCAGAACGACAACATGAAGAAGAGGATTGTGATGGCTGCTCGGGACAACTGGGAGAACTACTTCACCCGCCTATTCCCTGTGAAGGTGAGAGCGGAATGTAAAGCATCTCACTATGATAGGATAGTCTATCCTATAGCTTTACCAGAATAAAGAATACATTGTGATTAAAACAGTTAAATAATTGCAGTCGAGGAATCCAACCAATCACTGGCCCAGAACAGCTTCTGTCTTTATTGAGATTTGAAGGTGGCTAGTGTTGGGGAGCATTTCAGATCATCAGTTGGTTCAGCTAAAAACAACATACATTTGATTTATTTTCAAATATGTTCAACAAGAGACTGGAAAACAGTGCAAACATTTTAGAACATCAGTGATTTTTAGAGTTCTATTGGATGCGAAATGTTAAAAGAAGCTCTGATAGGCAGCAGTGTTCTAAATATGTCCATCCTGCTGGGTTTAGGCATCAACTATGTTTTTCAAATATAGACTGAACCCATTTCAAAATGTCTTACTTGAATCTCTAAAGCTCTGGTTACCAGCAGAGTAATACCTTTCAATCTATCATTGCTGCAAAATACAATGATTTCCATTATGTATGTATTTATGTAATGGGCATTTAAGTGCTTTAGATTAGATTAAACGGTATTGTCATTGAACCGTAGCTACAGGAAGTCATTTGGTACAATAGCTGTCTGTGAAGCTTGGATTTCATTTCATTTCATTTCAAACCTTTATTTAGACAGATTGGTCCCTTGAGATCATCGATCTCATTTACAAGGGAGACCTGCATCATTTAGTTCCACATGAAACATAAAAACAACATACAAACAAACAACAGAGGATATCATATTTACATATTCAACATTTACAAATACCCAGAGTGTCAGAAAGCATTTCATTTAGACGTGCCTTAAATACATTCAGAGAAATAAAAATGCTCAATTTCAATTTTGCCTGTAGACTGTTCCAAGCAAGTTGAGCTGCGCACATAAAAGCTGTCTTACCTAAGACAGTCCTTACTCTTGGCACATCTAACAAGACTATATCCTGCGATCGCAGACAATAGCTGCTTGCAACTTTCTGCTTTATCAATGAACAGATATAATACGGGATAATAAACCTTTTGGTCATTTATGATTTGCTTTAGAGGGAGCATAAACAGGTTCTAATAATAGAATACTTTTGGCCATCGACAGTGAGGTTACAAATCAATCTTAATGTAACTGATTAACATACTTGTATTTGAACAGGTTCCAATAGATTTTGTGATTTAATTCTAATAAGAGTGTGTTACTCTTAAACAGAAGATTTAACTTATTTGGCTATGGACTTTTCAAAACCTTATATAATAAGGAAATCCGTCTGTGCTACAGAATGATTCAAGGGCAAAATGGTTTTAATGTGACAATATAATACAATATTTACAGGAGATGACTGCTTGTTTTATTTGAAGCATTAAGGCCAGGAGCTTGTCGTGGATCCGATGTAACACTCACAACATTAAATAATAAGACAAGGAGGAATCAATAAAACACAGACACAGAGATGGTTGAAGTCGGATATTATATTGCTGTCCAGCACTATAAGAGGCACATTACCTTGCAACAAAGCAGTCAATAGCGTAATGTCCCTACAGTCTAAGTGAATCTCAGAGTTGATATGCTCCTCAAAACTGCATGCGTAGTTGAACTCTTACTGACCTCTGTCCCCTCATTCTTTAAATAATCCCAGGTTCCATGAACTTTTTCTGCTGATACCTCACATGCCAATGAAGACAACTATTGGTCATAGAAATAGATCGGCCTCTTTCCTCAAAACTAAATGAGTAACCCACTAGTATGACTTGAAACACATGATTCTATAAGCTCATGCTGGATCACTAATCTCTTACTGCTATTAACATGCATCTTCTGTGTCTGTGTGTGTGTTTGCAGCCGGAGAGTGGGGATGCTCAGGTGTTGGCTGTGTCTCATCGAGGCATCCGCCTGCTGAAGGTGGTCAGAGCGTCAGGCATCAACCCCAAACACCTCCGCCTGCTCAGGAGCTACAGGTGCACACGCAGCACAAAATCACTTCATATTCTTCTTGGTTTCTTCCAATGTTTCCACATAAGGTGGTCTAAGTCTTAGGTCAAAAACAGGATGTTTTTTATTTCTGTGTGATGCTAAATATGTTTCCCACCCTAGAAGCATTTGATTAACACTATAAATGTCTGACAAAATGTACCATTAGCCCCATATTTAAACAATATGACATCTCTTCCCGTGATGCGTTACTGTCCTGTCATTTCAAAATTCAGCTTGATACCTGAAACCTACTATGAGCCCATGATGGGAGACGTGCAGAGTTGCCCCTCTATATATTTTTATTGAGTAAAAAGCCACAGTAAAATATAGAAGTTAAAGCGAAAATAAAGACATTAGTTTTAGTTTTATTATTTAGTTTTGCTATTCTGGTAGCCTCTCCTCCTTTTGGAAATGCATTGCAGCCAGAATACAATTCCCAAATTAATCAGAATGATGTTATGCCGTGAAATGTAAAGTGAAAAGCTTTCGTGTTCTCCTGCTTTCAACAGAATCTTCCTTAGTAGTGATGATGGTATTAACACTGTCACAGGCATTGTCTGCTATTCACTCTCTAAGTTCTTCTTTAACTGTTTATCAGATCTGTTAGTCTCTTTCAGCTCATCTGCTTCCTCAGATTGTTAACTGCGCATGACTGTAGTTTTGCAGAGCTGCTGTCAGTGGAGCTCCGGGGAACAGACAGGGTAGAGGTGGAGCTGAAGAGTGAGGTGTTGGTGCTGCAGTCCTCCAGAGCTCCACAGATCACCGCCATGATCCAGCTCTTCCTCCAGGAGCTCCTCAGGGTACTGCTTTGCTCTTAAAGCATCATCATTATTTTCATCATCTTTCACAATCGTTGGGCCATGTGACCCCCCAATTGTGATAGAGCTTTCTAACTTTTACTCCACATATCACCCTGACATATTTTTCTTTCTCTCTAGGACTCCGGCCATGTGGTTGCCCTGAAGAGTTATGTGACCGATGACAAGAGTCTGCTTAGCTTCAGCAGGGGTGAGGTCATCAAACTGCTCCCGATGGACAGACTCCAGACAGGTGAGGTCATTATTTGTGTGCCAGACAGTTTGAGGGAGATTTTTTGCATGCTTGATTTCAGAATGGGTCACTGTGCCAAAAGTGTTAGATGCCCATCTGCAAAACATTATTCAATGAGATACATACCAAACAGGAATAGACTCAAAATGATAACACAAAAAGACTACAAAGAGACCAAAAACACCTAAAGAGAGATGCAAAAGGGCTCCAAAGCTACACGTAGACTTACAGTGGTGATGAATAAAGGCCAAAACAGCAGAGACATTAAAAGGCCACAACCAGACACAATACAACAAAATATGCTACACTATGGGGTGTGTATGTATTGCTCCTATCTAGGAGAGGTGTTGGTGGCTTCAGAATCTCCTTATCAACAAAAATGTTGTTTTTGCTCCACCAGGATGGAGTTTTGGCACCTTGGGAGGGCGCTCTGGGCTTTTCCCAGAGGACCTGACCCAGCCATCTGCGGCCCCCGATTACCACTGTCGGACCTTCAAACGCAAAGATGACAAGAGGAAGAGCACGAGGGGCGCTGCACCTGTCAGTCAATCAAACGGCCCGCCTCCAGGTCCATCCAGCAGAGAGGGCTCGGTACTGGCCCGAAGGTCAGTCCAGAGCTCCCGCAAGGGCTCGGTCCTGGAGCTGGAGATCTTCTCAGGCATGGCTGAGTTTGCCATGAACTACTTCAGGTACGACAGAAGAATATTAACCATTGTCGATTACAGTCCGATGGTTTGGTTTTTATCACGTCATGGCTAATTTTGTGCTCATCATCTTTTTATTAAAGAGTGGGGAGTACAGGTCTGCCAGCAACTGGAAGGATTTTTTCAGAGGCGGTTAAACACACAGAGGTAAGAGTGACCCGTTTGACATCAGATGACCTGGTCTACTCTTGTTCATACTACCAGGATTGTACATGGACACATCCGTATCCATGTGTTCAACCACAGCAGACTTTAACCATCCCAGAGTGCAGTAACGAGGGGTTACGTATGGTAACCCTTGTTATATAAGCACAGGCGGAGCCCTCTACTGGACTCTATGGGTACTGCCCCTTGATCATATCATGCAAGCATTCATCCACTAACGGTACGTCCACACAGCAGCTTTAAAAAAATCTTCCAACGCTTCTCTGCCCATTGACTTTGAATGGGAGTGACGTCACTTTGCCTCGCTTTTCGCCGAACTGCATTGTGGGGAAGCGAAGCGAAGATTTACAGGATTTTCAGGATTCAAAAGTTGAGCAATGTTCAACTTTTGAAGCTGAGCTGGAAGCGTCAGCCAATCAAATCCCGTTTATGCAAATCTGACAGTACAAGCGCTAGCCATAGTAGCCAATCAAACCGCATGCAAGCTGGGAGAGCCAGACCGCAGTTCATTTCCTCCTATTCCAAACGAGAAATTACGGTAGGAAATCACCCGGTTCTTTACGACCAGAACTATTTACCGGGATACAAACCGGAGAAACCAGGCATGGAGGGAGGTGGCAGAGACAGTGGGTGAAACTGGTAGGTTTTCGCCTGTTTGGGGTTTTATATCCAGTTTACTTCGTTTAAACATTGCTAGCAAGCATAGACAGCATCTTTAGCCAGCATGGAATGTAGCATAAAATAGCACCATAGACATTAATCTCATACATGTTCATCATAGCCCTTCCCGCTGACACTTGGCCTCTGCCACATCATAGACTATAT